TTGTGTTTAGTTATTGAATCATAAAACATTACTGAATTTGATTTTTTTTGTATTTTATAAATGTTTACTTGGTTATTTCTATGAGTTTTAAAGTTTTCGCCGAGATAAAGTGAGTATTTTTAAAATTATGAATATTGTCGGTCTACTTGGATATATATAAAATAACTGTACATATCAATACTATTAAAACATAAACACATTTTATATACTTGCAAGTAATATATGTTGGACTATTACATTTATTTAGTTTCCTTTTTATTTTCCTATAACTAACTTAATTATCATTTAAATGTATACTAGACTTTGACACACACACCCATGCAGATATTTATTTATTTTAGTATGCAAAAATATTATTTACATATTTATCGGTTAATATTTTAAATAGTATACGTGATGTAAAATAGTGATTCGTGTGCCTTACTAAACCCTTGACAAATATTAATCTATTAATATACTTTAGTAATACTTCTTTTTACACTAAAGTTTTTTCTAAATGTAATCATATTTTAAATATTTTGATTATATATGGTACCATATGGTGAAATTTTGATACGTTAGAAAAAGGATATTCGGTTATAAATATTAAATATTATTCTACAAATAATTCAAAGATATTTAATTTTACTATGGTATATTTTATTATTGAAAATAATTAATAGTAACCGAAATGGTTAAATAAATATTTCTGAAATTTTTGAAATATATATAATTTTAGGTGATATTTAGTTATATTAAAAAGAAATATTTAGTTACAAACATTTTATATTGTTCTACAACTAATTTAAAGATATTTAAATCTTAAAATATATAGATTTTATTGTTCAAAATAATCAATGATAATAATAAAGGTGAAACATAAATTTTAGGAATATTTTTTATATTGTTTAATATCAATTTTAAATTCGAATATTCCTAAATATTAGCTAAATTGTTTTAGGAAATATGTTAGATACGAAAATATGGATAAATTTTATTGAGGAAATAATTGAATAAAATAGAAAAAAGACAAGGATTCCCTTAAAATAGGTTCATTTAATTACTTCAGTGGTATTGAGTTGTAAATATTGTGCAAGATTAAGGGATATTTTTTATGGGTACTTCTATTTTAATAAAGTAGATTATGCTTAACCAATTATTTTAATATTTTCAAAAAAAATATTCTTAAGTATCTTTTCCTAAGATTAGATTTTAATAATATCTTTTAATATCTTTTATTTAAAGTTTCAATATACATATCTTTTTAATATTTATGTTTAAATAATAAAATTAATTAATATTAACTATAGTTAAAAACGAATACTAATTCATTTTTAAATTATATAATAAGAAATAAATTTATATACATAATTTATATTCATAATTAAATTACTATACCAAGTAATAAATATAAAGTAACTTAACAAGTTATATTCAGATTTTAGTGGTTTTTTGCGGGTTTGTAGAATTTTTGAATGATGAGTTTTTTATTTTAAAACCAAACCGGATTACATATATAATCATAAGTTTTATCTGTTTAACTACGGGTCCGGATCGAGTTTCAAAATACTAAATATAACGCTTCATGTTTAACATTTAAATGTAAATACATAGTCAAAAATACAATTTTACATCATATAAATTTGGTTTGTTTTGGAAATAATCATGCGCTTTGAACCGTAGTCGAGTCCCAGGTTTTGGTGGATTTTACGGGTTTTATATAATTTTAAAATAATGAGCTTTTTAAAAAAACAAACCAGGTTACATATAAAGTCATCGGTTTTGTTTGTTTAATCACGGGTTCGGGTCGTGTTTCAGAACACTGAATATAATGCTTCATGTGTAACAATTAAATGTAGATACATATTCAAACATACAAATATATATATCATATAAATTTGGTTTATAGAATTTTTAAATAACGATTTTTCTTTTTAAAACCAAACTGGGTTACATATAAAGTCATCATTTTGTCGGTTTAATTACGGTTCCGGATCGTGTTTCAGATCACTGAATATAACGCTTCATGTTTAATATTTAAATCTAGATACATAATAAAAAATAAAAATTTATATCATATAAATTTGATTTCTTTCGAAAATAATCATGTGCTTTGATCTGATAGCCGAGTCTCAGGTTTTATCGAGTTTTTTTTGTGTGGGTTTTATAGAATTTTAAATAATTAGCTTTTAAAAAAAAATCAAACTGGTTACATATAATATTATCGGTTCTGTTATTTTAACCACGGATCTGGATCGTATTTTAAAACACCAAATATAACGGTCATGTGTAACATTTAAATGTATATACATATTCAAATATGGTTTGTTTTGAAAATAATTCCACACTATGAAAGTACGGATCAAAATCTAGTTAGTACTATTAAAATAATATTATGCCCTATTGATATTAGATTGTGTCCAACTATTATTTCAACAAACCATACCTTTTAATATAACAGTGACTAAATTTAGTTTCTGAATCTAATCACCAAGTATAGCCCCTAAGAATCAGGGACAACAAATCTGACAACTGCATTATCTTAATTAATGAAATATTAAAAAACAAGAACTGCATTATCTTAATTAATTAAACATAATACTAAACCTGACAACTTCATTTTTTCGATTTATTTCCTAATAATTTGGACTGTATAAAATCTATTTTCTGGATCTAACCACCATTTAAATTGCCTACTAATCCACATCAACTTTTTGTAAGCTAAATCTAATAGTAAGGGATATCTAATATTAATACTAGACTTTGACCAGTCCGACCAGACAAATATTTATTTTATGTTTTTTTATTTTAAGGTTTTTGTATTAAATGATGTATTTGATATTTATTCTTCCTTTTTCGAAAATCATTTATTATTTATTAATGAGTTAACAAAGACCACTTACCGAATAATCTTAAACACATATCAGGCTGAATGATCAGTCCGACTTCAAAAATTTCAAAAACACTAGCATCTTTTTAGAGCTCAGATTCAAAATTTTATAAAGATTTATTCTAGGTTAGAGATCTTAAACTATTTTGGACTTGGCCTATGGCTATTTTTAACTCATTAAAAAATATCAGAACTGTAAAGAGTAGACCTATTATCTATTGTAGTGTCCATAATAAACTTTTTGTAATAGTAAGTGATTAGAAATTCAGATACGGAAGAACAAAAACATTCAAAAAATTAACTTTTGTTTTAGTTAAATTTATGCCAATATATATTGAAAATCAAAACACATATTCCTATATATATTAACATTCCAAACACATGTCAGTTGTAACTATATCTTCGTTACTTTTCTTTTTAAATTAATCATTCTTTAGGAATAAAGTACAAAATTAATGTGTGAAATAACTATGGAACAATTGTATAGTTATGCAACATCAAAAATTCAATACAATTATCAAAACAAGTTATTACTAATTAAAAAATATTATAGACAAACATATAAATTAAATTTCTTTAACATATAAAAAACTACAGAAAATGTTACATATTTACATTAAAAAAATTACATACCAACATTATACCTACAGCTCAAGATCTAGAACAGGTAAATATGATTACAAAGAAACGAGTATACGGGCAATATGATTACAAAGAACTAAATGTATGCCATCAACTTTTAAATGACTATTATTTTGTAAAATAGATTTTGATTAAGATTTATACAAAAATAGGATTACAAAAAATATAATCAAAAATACATAAATATGAAAATTAAATTTCTAGAAAAATTTCAAAAAAAATATACACGAATTTAGTCTTTTTATAAAAATGAATATGTCAGGCACAGAGTAACCAAATCGAGTTAAAATAAAAAGGGTTTTCTGGTTCTTTAAAAGCCATAGCTATACCGATCAGAGCCGGTTTCTTTGTTGTTTCTCTTTTTACTAAAGCAGAAAATAAAATTAACTGAGAACTGAACTAATCAAACCAAATTCAAACTTGAACCATCCCTGCCTAGAACTAAGGATGCTCTCTGTGAAAATTATGTCAGTGTGAAAACAAGCTTTAGAGGAAATTAATCAACAAATACCAGAATTATTTAGATATTTCATGCTCCTTAAAGCTTTAACGAGTGGCGATCATCTCCACAAAAATGCGATCGCCGCATCCTCTGACAAAAATCTGTTTAGTTTAGTATAATTATAATTTTGTTGTTATGCAACATTTAATATGATACTTTAATGAACATCGACTATTAAGATTTAAAGAAAGCGCTACTTTAAAGATGTGTAAAAAGCGATAAAATACAAAAAAAAAAAATTTAATTGTGTCTCTAAAAAATGAATACGGCTAATTAAAAATTTACAAAATTTAATACTCGTCAAATACTTATCTTCTAAAATTAAATTGATTTGTTCTTTTAATGTTTGAATTCAAGTATTTAGTATTACATAAATTAAAAAAAGTGTATTCTCCAAAATATGTAATGAAATATTGAAAATATTTGTGACCAACTAATTGAATATTTACAAAATATGAATGTCAATTAATTGAGATCCCCAAAAATTAATATGCAAATTATTATACCATTTATATAACTAAAATAATTCATTTTCAATCTTTGAATGCATATTACTTTCATGTATATTAGGGTATACATTTAATTATTGTCATTACTTAATAGGATATTAACAGTAATATAAGGAAGATAGATAAGTAACTCCAAAATATAAATAAAGAGCACTCAGTACACAGCCAATGACCTTCTCGTGGTCTTCTGTGCCATAAAAATCATTATATACATTCAGACACCAATCTGGCGCCACAATACATATATATGTACGTATCTCTGTATAGACATTCATATAAACAAATCTCTTCCTCTCTCTCCTTGTATGAGTGGTGAGATGGTTATCCCTATAAGGTGCAGCATCGAACCATCTGCACCATTTTGACTCGTTTCTTTTGTGTTTTTCCAACAACTGTCTCTTCTTTACTCGCTCTTTCTTTTTTCAATCTCCCCAACGACCCTCTCTTCCATTCATAACTCTTTCTCTCTCCGGGAAAAATGGATAGCTTCTTGCCCTTTTCCTCTTCTAACACAAACTCGGTCCAAGAACACTCAATGGATCTTAACAACGAGCACTCACGCTTCTCGACGTTCCCTACTTATGATCATCATCATCAGGCGCAGCCTCACCACTTGTTGTCACCGTACTCATTCGTTGCATGTCCTGTGGATCAGACGGCGGCAATGAATCCTCAGATCCCGGTTGTACAAACCGGAAATGAGTTCGGTTCTCTGGTATGTAATCCCGGTTTGAGACAAGCAAGAGGTGTATTCCTTGATCCACACACAGCTAAGATGGCCAGGATCAATAGGAAGAAGGCGATGGTAAGATCAAGAAACAACTCTAGCCCTAATTCTAGTTCGAGTGAGCTGGTTGGTTCAAGGAGACAAGTGGTTGTTACCATGAAAAATAATGCCGAGATTGCCGCTAAGAAAGATCTATATCGATTTTCCTCATTCGATAACAAGGTGTGTTTCTTTTATTGGTCCCAAATATGAAATATTTAAGATTTTATATGTACATAAAACTTGATCAAACGTTTTGGATATTGGTTGATTGTAGAAGCTTAGGGTTTTGCTGGTGAAAGACTTGAAGAACAGCGATGTTGGATCACTTGGGAGGATCGTTTTACCAAAGGTATGTAAATTTCTTACAATTCTTTCATTCATCGTTTTCGGTAAGGTATAAAGATATAATAAATTTAATAGGTAAAACATTAATAAGAAATAGTTATCAATCACGTAACTACGAAAAATTAAACCTCAATTCCATGGAAAAAGTTTTAGAAAAGTGAAATGGTTTCAGGATTTGGCTGCCACTTTTTTAAAGAAGGTTTGTGGGAGCGACATATTCCCTCGTTAAGAAATTTCACTGAGAGTAATTTCACACTTTTCGTTCCATTTTTAAGAGTATAGTATATTTAACAATTTCGTTGTTTAACCAATTAGAAGTTCAGTCTCTAAAATTAACACGGAAAACAAGGGAGTATGAAACAGACAACAAAATATAAAATGAAGTAAAGTTGTTTATAGTATTTGTTTTTCCAATAAGAATATTTGTGACATTTTTATACTATATTTTAGTTTAGGAAAAATGGACTAGCTAGTAAATTTTTAAATAAATTGATTGATTTAAAGATATCTGGAGTTTGAAGGATTGAAAAGTCTTCAAATTTTGGATTGAGTCCCAAGGATGAAATTTAAGAAGGGAAAAGATATAAATAAATTCAAATATTTTTTTCCAAGGATGAAATTTAGGAAGGGAAAAAATATAAATAAATTCAAATAGTTTCCTTTTAGTAACCATTAAAAGTCATGAGAAATAATAAATTTGATTTCTACTAGTTAAAGTGAAACTGCTCAATGAATTTATTCCAAGATGGGGATGAAGAAAAAGAAAGTCGGTCGCCTATTTGCCATTCCTAGTTAATTGCCTTTTAAATGGTATACCTCAAAATCATTATGGGAAAGTAGAAATAAACAAAAATAAACCATTATGGAAAAGAGGTTCGATATTACTTGGTACTAGGTGATTTTCCCGTGCTCATGCACCGGTATGAATATTCGTAAATGTAAAATTTTATAATAATTGATTGATATTTAGTTTTAGTTTTGAATCAATTACTATGTATAATTTATATTAATAAGTATTATATTATTCTAATTATACATATGACTTTGAATATATTATTGTCAGTGTAATTATTTTTCAGATCAATAGTTGGGTTGGTTATCAATTTGGTATATTTGATAATATCTATTTTTCGAATTCAGCTATAATATTTTTTATTCTAAATATAATAAAACTTTGATTAATTTCC